GTGGTCAGTACTGGGAGTGGTCAGTACTGGGAGTAGTCAGTACTGGGATTGGTCAATTCTGGGAGTGGTCAGTGCTAGGAGTAGTCAGTACCCAGAGTAGTGAGTACTGGGAGTGGTCAGAACTGGGAGTGGTCAGTACTCTGTGTGGTCAGAACTGGGAGTGGTCAGTACTCTGTGTGGTCAATACTCTGCTTGGTCAATACTCTGTGTAATCAGTACTGGGAGTGATCAGTATCGTGTGTGGTCAGTACTGTGTGTGGTCAGTACTGTGTGGTCCGTACTGTGTGTGGTCAATACTGTGTGTGGTCAGTACTGGGATTAGATAGTACTGGGCTTGGTCAGTACTGGGAGTGGTTAGTATTGTGGGTGTTCAATACTGGGATTGGTCAGTAGTGGGAGTGGTCGGTTCTGAGAGTGGTCAGTACTAGGAGTGGTCAGCTTTAGGAGTGGTCAGTATTGCGAGTGGCCAGTACTGTGAGTGATCAGTACTGTGTGTGGTCAGTACAGCGTGTGGTCAGTACTGTGTGGTCGGTATTGTGTTTGGTCAGTACAGCGTGTGGTCAGTACTGTGTGGTCGGTATTGTGTTTGGTCAGTTCTGTGTGTGGTCAGTACTGTGTGGTCAGTACTGTGCGTGGTTGGTACTGTGTGTGGTCAGTACTGTGTGATCAGTACTGTGCGTGGTTGGTACTGTGCGTGGCTGGTACTGTGTGTGGTCGGTATTGTGTTTTGTCAGTACTGTGTGGCCGGTACTGTATGTGGTCAGTACTGTGTTGTCAGTACTGTGTGGCCGGTACTGTATGTGGTCAGTACTGTGTTGTCAGTACTGTGTGGCCGGTACTGTTTGTGGTCAGTACTGTGTTGTCAGTACTGTGTGGCTGGTACTGTATGTGGTCAGTACTGTGTTGTCAGTACTGTGTGGCCGGTACTGTTTGTGGTCAGTACTGTGTTGTCAGTACTGTGTGGCCGGTACTGTTTGTGGTCAGTACTGTGTTGTCAGTACTGTGTGGCCGGTACTGTATGTGGTCAGTACTGTGTTGTCAGTACTGTGTGGCCGGTACTGTTTGTGGTCAGTACTGTGTTGTCAGTACTGGTGATGAGTAGAAGGAAGGATCAGTACTGACAGACCAGTTGTTGGTTCCCATTACGACGACTTTAAGTTGAAAAGTATACATGGAGTGTATCTTGCATTGTTAAGGATGATGATATTCCTTGCAAAGATGATCAAAGCTCTAGCCGCTTGAAAGGTCGTCCTTGAGTACAGGTGTTCCTTGAGTACAGATCTTCCTTGAGTACAGGTCTTCCTTGAGTACAGGTATTCCTTGAGTACAGATCTTCCTTGAGTATAAGTCTTCCTTGAGTACAAGTCTTCCTTGAGTACAGGTATTCCTTGAGTACAGATCTTCCTTGAGTACAGGTCTTCCTTGAGTACAGGTATTCCTTGAGTACAGATCTTCCTTGACAAGCACAGGTCTTCCTTGAGTACAAGTCTTCCTTGACAAGCACAGGTCTTCCTTGAGTACAAGTCTTCCTTGACAAGCACAGGTCTTCCTTGAGTACAGGTCTTCCTTGAGTACAGATCATCCTTGAGTAAAGGTCCTCCTTGAGTACAGGTCTTCATTGACAAGTACAGATCTTTCTTGAGTATAGGTCTTCCTTGAGTACACATCTTCCTTGAGTAAATACCTTCCTTGAGTACAGGTCTTCCTTTACAAGTACAGGTCTTCCTTGAGTACAGGTCTTCCTTGAATACAGATCTTCCTTGAGTACAAGTCTTCCTTGACAAGTACAGCTCTTCCTTGAGTACAAGTCTTCCTTGACAAGTACAGGTCTTCCTCGAGTACAGGTCTTCCTTGACAAGTACAGCTCTTCCTTGAGTACAAGTCTTCCTTGACAAGTACAGGTCTTCCTCGAGTACAGGTCTTCCTTGACAAGTACAGGTCTTCCTTGACAAGTATAGTGCCCTCCAGTTTACATTATTATACGGAACGAAATTCTGGAATCGTATTTTATTTATCCTTATCAAAACTCCATGTTAAATTACAGTGATTAATCTACTGTTATCTTTTTAAAACTCTCTTATATTCCATTGACTCGGATACTCTTTGCTAAGATATCACTTACAGTTAGAGCACTGTAATTGAAGTGGCCCTAACATTATATAGAACCCATCCATATTTTTTTGAAAATTATAAGGTGGTAGAGAAGTGCTGGTAATGCAGAGTGGTTCTGATCCACGGAAATCGAATGTTACATGAATTGCATACTCACAGAAATAGCAATTGATTCTCACCATCATACACTTAAAACAGACACCTGTTGTATAAGAGGCACCCGCCCTAACAAGTTGCACTGCGATCACGGTGTAGTGAAGGACATCACACAGGCTTGAGTGAGTGGTTTTAAGAAGAGGTGAACCAGGCTGGCTGGAGTGACGGAGGTTATCAGTGACAAATGGGTACAGAAGAAACAGCTCACAGAATGACATAGGCCCACACTCATATGTTGTAGCTCTCCATAAATGGTGTGTGCTTCTCTTCGTTAGGCCGTGTGTTTTGATCGAGCTAGCGATCAAAACACACGGCCGACGGCAAGGGGTTATCAGAGCACACACACACACACACACACACACACACACACACACACACACACACACACACACACACACACACAATGGTTATTAACATAAGTAGCTCAATCAGTAACCTGGACACTTAATATCGAACAAAAAGGCACAATCCGTGACTAGAACAATACACAAATAACCGCAAATAGAAGAGAGGAGCTTACGACGACGTTTCGGTCCGACTTGAACCATTTACAAAATCACACAAAATAAGCTACTCTGTCCTATGTGCGGGTTATTTGTGTACTAAAGGCTTAATAGATGAGTAACTAAAATCAACACGTTCTCTAGCGTTAAATTGAAATCAATGGTTCCACAGATTAAGACTGTTATAGAGGTAAAAATAAGACATCAGTAATTTCACAGAACAAAGACTTAGACTCGTCAAAGAGCTGGGTAGCAAGTAACTTTCGAAGTCCCCAGCCCCACACATCACCTTCCACCCCAGAGACAGCAGCGAGGCGAGGAGCAAGTCGGCACTGCTAGCGTCAGCATTCATCAATAACTGCCTCACCCACACACAAACAACCCACATTAGAAGGTCAAGAGAGGGCTGAGCTTGCTACCATCTGCAGCTCATAAGACTGCCATCCCCACGAGCCCCTTTGAGGCGGGGTAGATGGCAGACCAGAGGCCTAGCTTCTCCCTACGAGCCCCGTGAGGGCGGGGAATGTGGCTAGGCCTGGGGACACTTGGTCCCAAAGATGAGGAGGTACTGTACCTCCTCCCATACCTGGAGGTTACCTGGAGGTTATTCCGGGGATCAACGCCCCCGCGGCCCGGTCCATGACCAGGCCTCCCGATGGATCAGGGCCTGATCAACTAGGCTGTTACTGCTGGCCGCACGCAGTCCGACGTACGAGCCACAGCCCGGCTGATCCGGCACCGACTTTAAGTATCTGTCCAGCTCTCTCTTGAAGGCAGCCAGGGGTTTATTGGCAATTCCCCTAATGCTTGATGGGAGGCTGTTGAACAGTTATGGGCCCCGGACACTTATGGTGTTTTCTCTTAGTGTACCAATGGCGCCCCTACTTTTTATTGGCGGCATTTTGCATCGCCTGCCCAGTCTTTTACTTTCGTAGGGAGTGATTTCTGTGTGCAGATTTGGGACCATTCCTTCCAAGATTTTCCAAGTGTAGATTATGATATATCTCTCCCTCCTGAGTGTTCTCGAGACACTCCCCAGATAGGGAGCCAAGGCCGGGTACCACTACTTGGAAAAGACCCGGGCAGGGAGAATACCGGCGAATAAAAAAAAAAAAAAAAAAAAACCCACATTACAGTCATACATAACAACTCGCACGTACTTTTCCCCACATACTGCTGGCAGGCTTTACCAGCCTCCTCTCACTCCTAAAAATGTGCTGATTCAGTTCACGGTGTCACATCGCTACCAGACGAGTTTCGCCTAATCTGACGTTAAATATACTTTCTTACAAGAAAATAAACTACCACACATCTAAAACAATATAAAACGAAAATATTTTATGCATATGAGAAACATTCAGAAATTTATTCTGAGTGATGAGTATGGGTCGTCATGTTTGAAGAATCGTACCAGTGTAGTGATATTAAAATGTTTGCGTCTCCTTGACTCATCTTCCAATGTTGTGCTGCTGCTTTGCTACTGTAGATTACCTGAAGCCTTAATTTATCAGACCGAGGCTCAATTCAGTCGGTTTTTTAATGGATAAGCGAGCAAAACGACCACTGTTTGTAGGACCACTGATGTAGGACCACTGATGTAGGACCACTGATGTAGGACCACTGATGTAGGACCACTGATGTAGGACCACTGATGTAGGACCACTGATGTAGGACCACTGATGTAGGACAAGCCTAGGCAAATAGATGAAAGCGAGAATTTCTTTATTCCTAGAGCTCCTAGACCTCAAAATTTTCAAGATAAACATTTCTTTATTCGTTGTTTACCCCCACATTACAGGCATAATGTAATGTAATTAAAAAACTTTCCTCGTATGTAGTGCACAAGAAATATGCACTATCTTCCCTCTCTATCTCAGCGCTGCTCGTCAATCACTGTTAATTAATCTGTTATTTGTTGTGTTGACCAGAGAAGCTAATCGCAAGCCTCAGCATGAGAGCGAAAACGAGAGCGGTGGTGCTAGTAAATGGTTATTAGTAACATTCTAAGCTTTAATAGTAGCAATAATGCTAGCAGAAGAGTTTAGGACCTGTGGGTGATGCTCGGCAAGTTCTAGACACAGCAAGTTACTTCCAAAGATACATATATCTAACATATTTAAAAGTTACTCCTGGTACTTTTAAGCAAGTGCGTTCTCAATTATTCGTAATATCAGACCTCCGAGTGAAACATTACTTAAGTAAAATCAATTTGACTCTTACTGTTTGCAGATGAAGTTAATGATTTATTGTGCGGTGGTGGCGGCTGTGGTAGGAAGCGCTGCAGGCAAGCTGTCTCCTGAGAGGTCCTACAAGATCCTAATGCTCCTTCCCGTCGGCTCCAGGAGTCACAGGAACGTATTCATGCCACTCGCTGAGGCACTGGCCGAGCGTGGCCACAAGGTAACCCTCATTCATCTTGTCTTCTTAATAGAGTTTAAAATCACTGGACATTAATATCGAAAATTAATTACTGACCTAAATATTATATTTATTTAAGTCATTCGCGTGTTTATAATATATATTTTTAATTCATAAATTTATTCCTAAAATTTTTCTAAGCACTAAGGGTGATACCGTTGTACTGTACATCTAAGAAAAACTAACATGAAGAAATAAACGGTAGTTCACTGTGTCATTGGTGGTACAATGGACAAATTATTAACCAAGAAAGAGGAGGTATTAAAATAGTGAGAATACAAACTCCAGAGGATGCTAGTGAAAGATGAGGTACAAATCTATAGTGACAGCAACAACAGATGATTAGAGTAAAAAATAAAATCGAGATTAAAAATGGACACTGCAATACGAATATGAAAAGCAATATTAGGAATATAAAAAATTGCAAAAGGAATATCAGTCATGGTACGAATATCAAAAGTCGCTGTAGGAATATTCAAAAGTTACAGTAGGAATATCCGAAGTCACAGTAAAAACATCCAAAGTCAGAGTTGGAATATCAAAATTCGCACTAAGAATATGCAAAGTCACAGTAGGAATATGCAAATTCACAGTAGGAAATCCAAAGTCACAGAAGGAACATCTGAAGCCACAGCAGGAATATCCAAAGTCACAGGAATATCCAAAGTCACAGTCGGAATATCCAAAGTCACAGCAGGAATATCCAAAGTCACAGGAATATCCAAAGTCACAGTCGGAATATCCAAAGCCACAGCAGGAATATCCAGAATCACGGTAGGAATTTAAAAATTCGCAACAGGAATATACAAAGTCAGGTTATAAATTTCAAAATTCACAGTAGGAATAAAAAAAAGTCACGGTAGAAATATGAAAAATCTATAGTAGAACAACAAAACAAAAAAAGCTACAAAAGGCCTTCGTAAAAAAAAAGTGGAAAGAAAAACATTAAAAAAAAACGTCACGGAAGGACCCTAAACAATATTTTAATTAAATACTACAATTTTTTCAACCACTAAATCTGACTTATTTTGTTTTCACAAGTACTCGAGTTTTCCTTAATTTTCTCTCTCTACCACTCATATTTATTTTATTATTTATTTTCCTATTTGAATCAGCACTAATGTTCACTCTGCTGTCCACTATCCAGCACTAATGTTCACTCTGCTGTCCACTATCCAGCACTGTTGTTCACTCTGCTGTCCACTATCCAGCACTGTTGTTCACTCTGCTGTCCACTATCCAGCACTGTTGTTCACTCTGCTGTCCACTATCCAGCACTGTTGTTCACTCTGCTGTCCACTATCCAGCACTGTTGTTCACTCTGCTGTCCACTATCCAGCACTGTTGTTCACTCTGCTGTCCACTATCCAGCACTGTTGTTCACTCTGCTGTCCACTATCCAGCACTAATGTTCACTCTGCTGTCCACTATCCAGCACTAATGTTAACTCTGCTGTCCACTATCCAGCACTAATGTTCACTCTACTGCCCACTATCCAGCACTAATGTTCACTCTACTGCCCACTATCCAGCACTAATGTTCACTCTGCTGTCCACTATCCAGCACTAATGTTCACTCTGCTGTCCACTATCCAGCACTAATGTTCACTCTACTGCCCACTATCCAGCACTAATGTTCACTCTGCTGTCCACTATCCAGCACTAATGTTAACTCTGCTGTCCACTATCCAGCACTAATGTTCACTCTGCTGTCCACTATCCAGCACTAATGTTCATTCTGCTGTCCACTATCCAGCACTGTTGTTCACTCTGTTGTCCACTATCCAGCACTAATGTTCACTCTGCTGTCCACTATCCAGCACTAATGTTCACTCTGCTGTCCAGTATCCAGCACTAATGTTCACTCTGCTGTCCAGTATCCAGCACTAATGTTCACTCTGCTGTCCACTATCCAGCACTAATGTTCACTCTGCTGTCCACTATCCAGCACTAATGTTCACTCTGCTGTCCAGTATCCAGCACTAATGTTCACTCTGCTGTCCAGTATCCAGCACTAATGTTCACTCTGCTGTCCAGTATCCAGCACTAATGTTCACTCTGCTATCCACTATCCAGCACTAATGTTCACTCTGCTGTCCAGTATCCAGCACTAACGTTCACTCTGCTGTCCAGTATCCAGCACTAATGTTCACTCTGCTGTCCACTATCCAGCACTAATGTTCACTCTGCTGTCCACAATACAGCACTAATGTTCACTCTGCTGTCCACTATCCAGCACTAATATTCACTCTGCTGTCCACTATCCAGCACTAATGTTCACTCTGCTGTCCACTATCCAGCACTTATATTTACTCTGCTATCCACTATCCAGCACAAATGTTCACTCTGCTGTCCACTATCCAGCACTAATGTTCACTCTGCTGTCCACTATCCAGCACTTATGTTCACTCTGCTGTCCACTATCCAGCACTAATGTTCACTCTGCTGTCCACTATCCAGCACTTACGTTCACTCTGCTGTCCACTATCCAGCACTTATGTTCACTCTGCTGTCCACTATCCAGCACTAATGTTCACTCTGCTGTCCACTATCCAGCACTTATGTTGACTCTGCTGTCCAGTATCCAGAACTAATGTTCACTCTGCTGTCCACTATCCAGCACTAATGTTCACTCTGCTGTCCACTATGCAGCACTTATGTTCACTCTGCTGTCCACTATCCAGCACTAATGTTCACTCTGCTGTCCACTATCCAGCACTTACGTTCACTCTGCTGTCCACTATCCAGCACTAATGTTCACTCTGCTGTCCACTATCCAGCACTAATGTTCACTCTGCTGTCCAGTATCCAGCACTAATGTTCACTCTGCTGTCCACTATCCAGCACTAATGTTCACTCTGCTGTCCAGTATCAAGCACTAATGTTCACTCTGCTGTCCACTATCCAGCACTAATGTTCACTCTGCTGTCCACTATCCAGCACTAACGTTCACTCTGCTGTCCACTATCCAGCACTAATGTTCACTCTGCTGTCCACTATCCAGCACTAATGTTCACTCTGCTGTCCACTATCCAGCACTAATGTTCACTCTGCTGTCCACTATCCAGCACTTATGTTCACTCTGCTGTCCACTATCCAGCACTTATATTTACTCTGCTATCCACTATCCAGCACTAATGTTCACTCTGCTGTCCAGTATCCAGCACCAATGTTCACTCTGCTGTCCACTATCCAGCACTAATGTTCACTCTGCTGTCCACTATCCAGCACTTATGTTCACTCTGCTGTCCACTATCCAGCACTTATGTTCACTCTGCTGTCCACTATCCAGCACTTATATTTACTCTGCTATCCACTATCCAGCACTAACGTTCACTCTGCTGTCCACTATCCAGCACTAATGTTCACTCTGCTGTCCACTATCCAGCACTAATGTTCACTCTGCTGTCCACTATCCAGCACTAATGTTCACTCTGCTGTCCACTATCCAGCACTAATGTTCACTCTGCTGTCCACTATCCAGCACTAATATTCACTCTGCTGTCCACTATCCAGCACTAATGTTCACTCTGCTGTCCACTATCCAGCACTAATATTCACTCTGCTGTCCACTATCCAGCAATAATGTTCACTCTGCTGTCCACTATCCAGCACTAATATTCACTCTGCTGTCCACTATCCAGCAATAATGTTCACTCTGCTGTCCACTATCCAGCACTTATATTTACTCTGCTATCCACTATCCAGCACTAATGTTCACTCTGCTGTCCACTATCCAGCACTATTGTTCACTCTGCTGCCCAGTATCCAGCACTAATGTTCACTCTGCTGTCCACTATCCAGCACTAATATTCACTCTGCTGTCCACTATCCAGCAATAATGTTCACTCTCCTGTCCACTATCCAGCACTAATGTTCACTCTGCTGTCCACTATCCAGCACTGTTGTTCACTCTGCTGTCCACTATCCAGCACTGTTGTTCACTCTGCTGTCCACTATCCAGCACTAATGTTCACTCTGCTGTCCACTATCCAGCACTAATGTTCACTCTGCTGTCCACTATCCAGCACTAATGTTCACTCTGCTTGTCCACTATCCAGCACTGTTGTTCACTCTGCTGTCCACTATCCAGCACTAATGTTCACTCTACTGTCCACTATCCAGCACTAATATTCACTCTATCTTCTATTCATCACTACTGTTCACTCTACTGCCCACTATCCAGCACTAATATTCACTCCACTGTCCACTATCCAGCACTAATATTCACTCTACTGTCCACTATCCAGCACTAATATTCACTCCATTGTCTACTATTTATCACTAATATTCACTCTACTGTCTACTATCCAGCACTATTATTCACTCTACTGTCTACTATGCAACACTAATATTCACTATACTGTTCACTATTCATCACTAATATTCACTCTACTGTCCACTATTCATCACTAATATTCACTCTACTCTCCACTATCCAGCAGTAATATTTACTCTTCTGTCCTCTATCTAGCACTAATATTCACTCTGCTGTCCACTATCCAGCACTAATGTTCTCTCTGCTGTCCACTATCCAGCACTAATGTTCATTCTTCTGCCCACTATCCAGCACTAATGTTCACTCTGCTGTCCACTATCCAGCACTAATGTTCACTCTTCTGCCCACTATCCAGCACTAATGTTCACTCTACTGCCCACTATCCAGCACTAATGTTCACTCTACTGTCCACTATACAGCACTAATATTCACTTTATTGTCTACTATTCATCACTAATATTCACTCTACTGTCCACTATCGAGCACTAATATTCACTCTACTGTCCACTATCGAGCACTAATATTCACTCTACTGTCTACTATCCAACACTAATATTCGCTATACTGTTCACTGTTCATCACTAATGTTCATTCTGCTGTCCACTATCCATCACTAATATTCACTCTACTGTCCACTATCCAGCACTAATATTCACTCTATTGTCTACTATTCATCACTAATATTCACTATACTGTTCACTATT